ACTGTAAGAATTCTTGTTGTTTAATTTATGTGTTTGCTATTAACACTGTGTTATCTGCATATTGTTAAGATTATGGCCGCCAATAATGAATCCTGACAGGACTTCTAATTCTCAGCAGACGTATCTCTTGTCGTTATTTGCAACCATTCTAGGAGAAGGACAACACTGTACTGAAAACCTACCCATCTGAATCTGTACATCAACGGGATCTGTTTGTTTGTTTAGCGGCATATCAACATCCTTATGGGTCATTTAATGCCGAAATTTAATTTTCTTGGGAGCATTAGTAATTTTCTTTAAAAAAATGTAAATTTTATTTTATTTTTTTAAAATAAATTGTTTGTAATTTTTTTTATTATGAAAATGTATTGCTGGTATTTCTACTATAATAGAGCCCCGTTTGGAAGTTAACTATTTGCCCATAGTTGGGACCCTAATAGGTGTTACTACCCTAGGTTAGGTTGGATCTAGGAACGACAGCAATTAAGATGTGGTTCCACGCTCCTCCAAACCGGATGTAGTTTATCGTCATATCCAGGGCATGATATCAACGGGCACTGAACATATGAATGCCTGGCTAAATTTAAAAATATGTTTATATGCCTTCAAAAAGGCGACATTATTTTTTGAACAACATAAAATAATTAAGCTAATTTCTGTTATAAAAATATTTTATGGATGTCCCTCTTTAATACGCTTATATTTTTTCTATTTGATAATTCTATGAAGCTCTTCCTTATAATTACTTAGTTAGTGACCCAGTCTTTATAGTAAAATTTGTCTCCCTCTATACAGAGTTATTCAAAAAGAATACACCGATTTCATTACACAATATTTTAATAAGGAAAAGCAATAGAAAACTAAGTCACAAGTACTCTTCTCGCAATCAACTTTTATTTCCTGTTTTACAAGTGTTCAATGTGGCCACCACCTGCAGCACAGGCAACATCAATGCGATAAAAGAATTCCTCCCAGACGCGTATCAGCATATCACGAGTTGATCGCTGTTGTTATACGATGTTTAAGTTCATCGAGGTAGTGAGTAGCCGTGGAACATAAAAGCGATTTTTTACGTATCTCCGCAAGAAGAAAATCACACACAGTGAGGTCTGGGATCTCGCAGGCCAAGTACAAAGAGTAAGGTATTGGTAAGTGTTTGAATGAGGCGTTGTCTGTAAGGTTTTAAATGTAGACGTCTTCTTAGCACACGCCAGATAGTGGATTGAGATATCGTAAGCTCACGGCTAGCTCGATTTGTGAACTTCCGTGGAGTACCCTCAAACGCATCACGGACTCTCCCCATTTGTTCCTCCGAATCTCGTGATCGTCCTGGACTTTTTCCTTTACACAGACACCCACTCTCTTGAAACTGTTTAAACCACCATCGAATTTTCTTAGAAGAGGGCGGATTAATGCCGAATTGCCTTCGAAAAGCACGCTGCACCGTGACAACCATATTTATTTTCGCGAACTCTGAGGACTCCTTATTCCGGGGGTAAACAAACAATTGAACATTGACGGAGATACGATGCGACTATATCGTCCCTGTAGCAGCCATTCAAAACTTAGAAAACTTCTCTTTTAAATGGACTCATCCTATGACGATGCTTGAGAACTGAAGCAATGCGCCATGAAATCGGTTCATTCTTTTTTAATAATCCTGAATAATGAATGTAAAAAGAAACAATGTATATTGTGGCTTGCGAAGCAGTTGAGATAGTTTCGTATTTTCCAATAAGGTAAACGGTCGATGTTGGAAACCAAGTAAAAACCCTAGAATGTTGAATAAGAAGTTCAAACCTAGCCACGCCTTTGGCCTTGTACCATGTAGCTTACAAAGTTAAATTACTAAATATCAAGACAGATAGTTATGAACAGAATGGGACAGATATAAGAAAACCGAGAAAGAAAGAGGAAGAAAAGTGACAAGACTGATATATATATATATATATATATATATATATATATATATATATATATATATATTCTTTGTATGGATATGAGTTTGTGACCCTGGATTTCACGCTTTTGCGTCTGTGTTTGTCTGTCTGTGATTATGGTGGAGAATATTAATACTAGCAATAAAAAGTCCCAGACCAACTGAAGTTTAGTGATAGAGTAGGTAACCTAAATGAAAAAGAGTGCTATATCACCTTAAAGTACCACAAAGCAGATTTCGAGACTAATCCGACTACAAGGATAATAAACCCAACAAGACCTGAGATCAGAAAAATTAGTAAAAAGATCCTTGAAAGGTTAAATCAACAATTTAAAGAAAAAATAGGCCTGAAACTTTGAATTAATACCAAAGACGTGACTAACTGGTTTGCTGATATAAAGGAGAAAACGAACTGTACACTAATGCAGTTTGATATTGAAAATTATTACCAATCAATATCTAAAGAACTGTTCATAAATGCGCTGGACTTTGCTACCCAGTACATGGACATTACAGAAGAAGAAAAGTGCATTATTATAAATGCGAAATATCGGTACTGATACATAAAGGTGAGCAATGGATAAAAATTCTTATCACCACAATGGGATCACTAGACTCAGCTGAGTCTTCTGATCTTATAGGTCTTTTTATATTATACAATTTCACAGCGTACCGTGAAATTAATATAAGTGACATTGGTTTATACAGAGACGATGGACTTATGGTTATAAAGAACTCTACTAACTTTAAAATCGATAAAATTTGAAAGGTATTATATAAAGAATTTAAAAGCCTGAACTTAAAAATTACGGTAAGCACTAAATTAAAAAAAGTTAGCTTCCTTGATATAACATTAGATTTAATGAAAAATGTATACATACCTTATAAAAAACCCAATACCAATCCTTTATATATACACCCTAAATCAAATCATCCTCCATCTATAATTAAGGATATACCTTTATCTATCGAAAAAAGAATAAGTACAAATTCAGCAAATGAGAAGATTTTCTATGAACATATTAATTTCTATAATAAATTTCTAAAAGATAGTGGCTACAAAAGCCCAAAACTAACTTATATAAAAAAGGAAAATGGAAAGCATAGAAAAAACAGAAGTTGAAAAATAATTTGGTATACACCACCATGCAACCAAATAGTAAAGGACAAATTAGGACAAAAATTCATTGCATTAATCGTTAAAGCACTTTCCTAGTGATAGTAAACTAAGTACTATTTTCAATAAAAATACACTAAAATTCAGTAACAGCTGTACTGAAAACTTAGAGAAAATTATTAAGAAACATAATGCTAATATCTTCAATAAACACTTAGACCAAAACCAAAGAAATTTAGAGAATATAAAAATAAAAACAGATGAAGATAAACAAAAATTATCTAACTGTAGAAATCCTCATAACTGTCCTCTACAAAATAAATGTCGCACGGAATCATTAGTATATCAATGCAATATCACATCTTTTGAGAATCCCGAAAATATAAAAATCTATATAGGTTGCACAAGCCATGAGTTCAAAAAGAAGTTCAATCAACATCAAACTTCATTTAGGATAAATAAATACAGAAATCAGACATCCCTTTCGAAATATTTCTGGCGCTTAAAAGGAACCAATAAAACACCTACAGTAAAATGGAAATTAATAAGAAAAGCTAGAATATGTAGGTCATTAAATGACCTATGTCCTTTGTGCATACATGAGAAAGTATATATTACTAAGTCTATAAAAAATAAAAATTTACTGAATCAAAGAAATAAAATAGCTATTCTTTGCCGTCATTGTCAAAAATTTTCCTTAAATAATATTTAAAAAAGAAGGGAGCTGGTAATATACATACTTATATTTGATATGAAAAAATAATTTTAAATAATTTAAGTAATTCTATTGCATTTACTTGATTTAAAAAGAAATATAGTCTATTAGTAATTAAGAGTAAAAATATTTTAAAATTGTAGTTCAATATAACGTATTCTAATGTAAAAACACCTTTTAGAAAGAATCTTTAAATATACAAGTACAAATTTGACGAAAAAAATGCTGAAAGACTTTTTGTCGTTAATAATAAAAAAAAACCCAGACGACATGCGTTTAACGGGTGTCAGAATTCGTTGAAAAATACACCCCTACCCTCCCTAAACTTAACCTCTTTTTTTTTTTAAACTCACAATTGATACAACAAGAGTTAATAAAAATGAACACGCTACCACCCCTGTCTGAATGATTGGATTTCTCTGTATCCTTGGAAACAGGAAATTATGAATTTATATGTGCGTTTAAAATTCAGTAAATTTAAAAATAAGTTATTCCAAAATTCGCTTGAAGATGAAACCGAACTAATGCTTTTAATTTAATTATATAATTAAATTTGAAGTTTTTAGCTTCATTTTTTGAAACATGGTTATTACTGTGTAGCGAAGAAACCATATTTTAAATCAGTTAATTTATAATATTTATGTTCTGTAAATTTACATTGAGCACTGTTTTGTAAAAATAAAAAAATATCAATAACACCGGATTATATATCTTACTGTTCTTTCTTTTATATATATATATATATATATATATATATATATATATATATATATATATATATAGAGAGAGAGAGAGAGAGATATGGACAGACTGAGAAAGAAAAAAGAATGAAAGATGGTGAAAACTGAACAGACAGAGATATGGAAAAAATAGATACGAAGAGAATTAGGCAAATAGATACACAGGGAATTAGATAGATAATGAACATGTGATAGATAGATAGATAGATAGATAGATAGATAGATAGATAGATAGATAGATATGAAGAGAGATAGATTGATAGATACAAAGATAATTAGATACACAGAGAATGATATAACGAACATACTGCAATAGATTCTTGTTTAATATTTCTACAAAAATATGTCTTTCTTATTACAAATATTTCTTTCTGAGATCTCTTTCATTTATTTCTTTTTTTGAATGGCCACAATTGATTCGGACTCATTCTTAATCTAAATTTATTTAAAACTGTGTTTTAGGTGAACTTATTTCCAGATATTCTATGCTTACGGCCATATCACGTTGAAACACCGGTTACCGTACGATCGACGAAGTAAAGCAACGCCATACCTGGTCAATACATGGGTGACCGCTTGGGAATACCAGGTGTTGTAAGCTTGGATGTGCGGGTGGTGTAATGGATAACGGCTCGGAATTGTTAATTAGAGAGCCGAGTTTCAATTTCAGTTGGGTTGGTTATATTACTTAAATATCGTTCGGAATGCTATGAATTCATCTCTTCTCCTCCCAGATATGGGTTAAATATTAAGGCTTGTATTGATGAATCATTATTATCTAAAAAAATTCTTACAATCTAAAAATATTTTCGGGTTCAAATAACCTGCAAAGGGTTGATAAGTCGTAAAAAACGAACCAATCAGTCAATATAAATTACTCATTTAAAGACACTTTTTTTTCTTTTAGATTAATTTATTAATATTGCCGCCCTGTGTATTAAAACAAAATCACCTCAAGCAAAGCAACTATAACTTTAGGGGTTATAGAAAGTGAGGAGAATGATGAAAATGAACAATTAAAGAACAGTTCCAGGAAGACAGAAGACGGCGACTGATATTGCATTTACATTTTTGAAGATCCTAGGCGCCAGGGAAGTAAGAAACTGGAAGAATGCGCGAGAAGTGCGAGAAAAGAAACTATTAGAATAGAACTTACGGTTACATCTATTTCAACAGTAAAACGATGAGACCTAGCTGCCAATCTAGTACTACGCTTGAATTCATGCAATCGAGATAACAAGAAGGAGTGCGCATTAGAACAAAATCCAAGAAAATGTTTATAGAAAGGAGAGAACAGAACCACGACAGGGCGGTGGGAAAGTGACTGAAGCCGAGATGTCAGGTTAGGACAGACAACCTTACACACCCTTCTTTGGATTTTGTCGAAGAACTATATATATATATATATATATATATATATATATATATTTATTAAAGACATATTTTATGTTTAACGTTGTTATTTTATAGATACAAGTATTTAAGCAAATGCTCTGTTTATGATAAACAGTATTAAATAACATTTACCGGCCTGAATGTCCGAGAAATTTTCATAGAAAATATTCGTTCTTTGACAGGATTCGAACCTGCATCCTATACGGAACCGTCATATACGCTGACGTGCCTTACCGCTTAGGCTACAAAGAAGCGTTCGGTAGACAAGGTCGAATTTACTGCTTATAAACTCCAATTTTCCATGAATCTCGTACATTCATAACTGCTCTGGCGTATCGAATGTAAACAAATGTAAATTCGACCTTGTCTACAGAACGCTCCTTTGTAGCCTAAGCGGTAAGGCCCGTCAGCGTATATGACGGTTCCGTATAGGATGCAGGTTCGAATCCTGTCAAAGAACGAATATTTTCTATGAAAATTTCTCGGACATTCAGGCCGGTAAATGTTATTTAATACTGTTTATCATAAACAGAGCATTTGCTTAAATACTTGTATCTATAAAATAACAACGTTAAACATAAAATATGTCTTTAATAAATAAATTGTCGGACCTTGTCCATTTCTTAATATATATATATATATAGCAGAAGCACCAGACACAGTGAACCAACTTTCCTAGCAGTAGACATACCAATTGATTCAATTTATTTACTCCACTTGTGAAAACGACGTTGTGCTTTGAATTTATTATTTAATGTAGCATTTATTGTTAATTGTTAAAAATATATGACCGATAATTCTTCCATCTTAATTTCCGTTAATTTTTCTCGCAACTTCTCATACAATGTTTCTATAGGCGTCATTGTAGCAGTTAAGAAAAAAGTATAAGTTTCCTTTAGATCTTGTCGGTACGGCCGAGAGTGGGGGCATGTAATTTGGACAGAGCACGTTCTCCATATACCATCACCCAGGCCTGCATCCTGAAGAGGTCACACCAGTTTCACCACCAAAGGACTGAATTTTGATCAAACAGAGCACTACCCTTATTGTGCCTATCATTCCTGTCATATCTTTTTTCCAAGGAATGCATCCCTCAGAAGAACATTTGCCGTATCGTTTAGGACAGGAAGACTACAGGCTGCAGAAGTCAAAAATCTAACGATATAAGTTTTATAACGATTATCCTTTGCATATTGTTCAGTCTAGCATAAATTTGAAGACTGCATAATTCCGTAAGCCTGAACGTTTTTGTCCTGAAAAATGTCCTGTCTATTTAAAACCGCCTTGGCGCGATTTTTGCTCATCGAATCTCAGCTATTATTTCTCAATGTTATTTTTCATCGAATCCACTCGGCCGATGTCTTCAAAACAAGTTCCATAATCTATTCTTTTAAATGCCAATGCGATGCTGACTGTATAGGCAGGATAAGTCAATTTCCTGAGAGAAGAATTTCCCAGCATGTTCTTGCGTTCATTTAGAAGAGATCAACTTCAAAATAATTTTCATAAGTCTGTTGCGTCATCCGAATTTGAAACGTCAGGGTGCCGAGGAGTACCGTGAGGACGTTCCCCATGTTATTCAGATCTCATTCTGAGTTCCACCTTAAAGTCCTTGAGACATGTTTCATTAATTCTGGGCAGCCTTCACTGAAGTGATTCTGCTAGGACTTAAAATGATCTGCTTATAGGTATTCCGTGTTTAGTATATTACTAATAACGGTGTATTAGTTTCTTTTTTTTTTATCTTTTTATTTGGTACGTATGCCAAGATTAAACCTGTACATGTTATCACCTTCAAGCAATTAACTTCAGAATCACGAGAGCCTTTTTCAATATTATCTTCTTTTTTATTTCTGAGGCACAAAAATAGAATCTTAAACATTATTTTATCATTATACTATCATTTTTTAGACTATTCGCCGCTAGCAACACTTCATGCAAAACTTAATGAACTGTAATGCAAATTAGGAGGCACGGTGGTGTAATGGATAGCGGCTCGGATTGAGGAATCGGGAGCCGAGTTCGAATCCCAGTCGAATCAATTCACTTACGTAAATGCGTTGGGAAAGGTATGAATTCTCTTCTTCTCCCCCACCCCAGCTATGGGTACATAGCAGTACAGACCGCGTTCTGGATGGCAACTGGTCTACCGCAGAAAGAAATGACAACCTACTGCGGGAAAAACCTGTCTCGTCAGTCATGTATCGAAAGATACATGATCGCCTAAGCGTGTATCACGCATGGCACATAACTTACTGAATGCAAATAGTAAGTTATCAGAGAATAAACAACGATAATAAACGATTTATGACAAGTTCACATTAAATTGTTCATAACATTTAGCCATTGATGGTATTATACTTGATGTTTGAATTCAGTGGTTTCATTGATTGATTATCAACATTTTACAGGTTATTTAAAGTCAGAAAATATTTTTAGCTCCTCAGAATTTTTGGAAGATAATGATTTACTGATACAAGTACTACTAATTAACCCATAACTGGGGGGAATTCATAACTTTTCCAAGGATGTTTGAGCGTAAGTGAATATAACAAACGCGGCTAGAATTTCAAGACATTTCTCCGATTTCCAATTCCAAAGCATTATCCATTTTATCACCCGCACATCCATGCTTACAGCTCCTGGTATTCCCAAGCGGTCAACTATCGTACGATAACCGGTGCTTCAATGTATTATATAGTCGTAAGCCCACAATGGGTTCAAAGTAAAAGGTGTTTCATTAAGACGGATCAAAGTCAGTTGTAAATAAATCAGTGTTATTGGTGAAAATTTATTTATTTTTCTATTGGATCATGTTATTTAAGTCATGGCAATTATGTGTGAAAAATAATATTGCCCAAACGTCCGCCAAATCTGAAAGAAAAAGAAAAAATCGTTAAACGCTTAAACTTAATTCACATTTAAAATCGGTCCCATTAGTATTAATTGATTGATTCGTTTTTTACTGCTTATCAACACTTTGCAGGTTGTTTAAAGCCAGAAAATATTTTGGGATTGCAACATAATAATGGTTTAGTGATAAAAGGCTTAGTAATTAACCCATAGCTGATGGAGAAAAGTGGATTCATATCTTTTTCCAAGGGTATTTGTGAACATAACGAATTCAGCTGAAGAATTATTTGAAAAAAAAAGCTACCTGTAGTTCGATATCCAGAACTCTGTAAGAACGATTACGAACTACATTCCCGTGTAAAAACGAGCACTCATTTACCTGAACATTCTTTTACTAAAACTAATGTATGCCAACAGAGACAATAGAATGTGTGCTAACAAGTTCAGGAATGCATAGATGTGCACCCATACATACATTTCAAATTATTTTAGATAAAAAGGTGTTAGCACAAATAAAAAGCGGGGATTCTATATCTCACACTATTTGCAAATGTCAACGCCCAAACTTCATCCATGTTCTGAAATAGTTGCAGAGGGCCGTGAGTGTCTGAGCGCGGAAAACAAAAACGATTTGATAATACAAATATAAAGAAAGAAGTTTTTGAAATTTCAAAATAAGAGAACAAAAAAGACGGTGACAAAGAATAAGAAGACCAGAAGTGATTTCCTTTTATTGAGAGAAACTTCGAAAAAAGAAAAGGAAGAAAAGTTGGCATAAAAAGAATGCGCCATTATTTTAAGGTTTGTGTGTGAAATATTTTTGACAATATCTGCTGTGATTTACCTATTGGTGTAGGAGTGACGTAATTTAGATACATATTCTTCTTTTTTTTACAACAATGTCCACCCTGTGCAAGGCCTAAGAGCCACTCGAGGTAGAGGGCTACGGAGTAAGACCTAGGAAGCACAAGTTATGAGGATATGTGGAAAAGATAACGGTTAACCCTAGAATTGAACAGGGTAAGGTTGTAATGATCTGGGAAGCATCCTTCGCAATAAGAAGTTCGAGTAGAACTTACATCACCCCAGGGGAATACGAAGAGAATGAGAATAATTCCCTACAATGTGTGGGGCAAGATAGATCTTACCTGTGAAGTTTAGTACGGGTAGAAATAAGGATTGAAGTTCATCTGAACACTTTCCATGGAAAAATCGATAGAGTATGAGAGGTTTGCAATGTTTCGTCAGTGGGAAAAAGGTTGTAGGTTGGAAAATAATGCATCACCCACAAGGACGCGTAGGCGCTTTCGGACTTTTATCGACACTGGGCAGCTCTTGTCCATATATGGCA